TGTACGTTTCTTCACAAAAACTATATTTAATTACAATTTTCTTTAAAAGTATATTCATACAATTGAAGAATATTTTGTACCAGGTATGTATATCCACCACACATTTTATTTCACCAAGTAAGTTTTTATAAGTTTATTTTTAATTGTAGCCCATATATCGTGGCTAGTGATTCAAAATGTAACTGTGATATTGAAAATTTATTTTAAATAAGTTTTGGCTCAAGACCATATAATGAAAAATAAAACATTATTAAAAGAGAAAGACCAATGCCTAAATTAAATATAAATACTTCAATAAAAAAATTTGTTCGACATTTGCATGATAAAATTTATGAAGACATAAAATGGCTTTGTGGATGCATAGAAATGCAAAAATTGTTTTGTTTATCTTGCCTACTATTTTCAAATAAAATTAGTGTGTGGAATAAGAATGGCTTTGACGATTTAAATAATTTAAGTAAAGCTGGTAAAAGACACGAAAATCGTAAATCTCGCATCGATTCTTTCGTAAAATTGAAGCAAGTTGGAAATCGAAGCGGAATAGAATTTAATATTAGTAAACAATATAAAAAAATATTGAAAATTATAATTACGGCTAATAGATATATTATATCTAAATTAATAGATGTTATATGTTTTTTATCAAAGCAAGAATTGTCATTTAGAGGGTAATCTATTGAATGTAATAACAGAGATAATTATATTGAACTTGTTTATTTATTAATTAAGTACGTCAGATAATCTATTAAAAATACATACAGAGAAGTCTAATCTGACGGAAATCTAAAGTATCAATATATAAAATATTGAATTTAACAACAACATATTTGAAAACGCAAGTCTTTTCCGTTTATTTTTCAAAAAATATTTCTGACAAACCTTTTTCATAATCATTAATGTCATAATTACTTTAACAATATACATGTGATATTACTTATGGATGATTTCATTAAGACGTATCATGGCAAATAGCTACAACTGCCAACAATAAATTAAAAGCTTTCTAAAACGCATAGCAGTATTGATTTCTTGTGAAAAGAGTTGAAAGAATAATGCCCAAATCTTTCTAACCGCAATCTCAAATTTATATGAACTGTAAAAGTAGACATGCTCCTGAAGTTATGGTAAAGGTATGGAAAAGTTATGCTGAACTTATAGTGAACTTATGGTGAAGGTATGGTAAAATTATGGTAAAAGTATGCTGAACTTATGTTAAAGTTGTGCTGAACTTATGGTAAAATTATGTTGACGTTATGTTGACGTTATGCTGAACTTATGCTAAAGTTATGGTTAAGTTGTGGTGAAAGTATGCTGAACTTATGCTAATGTTATGGTGAACTTCTGATCAACTTATGCTGAAGTTATGGTGACGTTAAGAACACTGTTTCAGGCAGTTGCAAAATCCAAATATGTAGATTTAAAAAATTGCACAACAAACAGGTAAATGGTAAACAGGTTTAAAACGTAAAACTAACATTGACAGCTTACAAGCTTTATAAAACCTACAGCAGTGGTGTGCCGTCATTGAAAATACAAGGGAAACGGCGCTTCCTTTGCATTTTCTAAAATATAGAAGATTTAAACAACATGAGTGATTTGAAATTTGTATACAGAGGTATGAAAGATTGAGGGAATGCGAATAAAGCACATATCGTTGAGTTTGTTAATTAATTAATCATCATTTTAGAGGCTGCTGAGTTTTTTTTTTAATTTTTACTTGATTTTCACGATTCTTTTATTTTTGCTTGATTTTCTGATTTTAAATGATTTTGAAATTTTCTGATTGTACAACATTTACATTTTTGGATCGAGATTTTAGTGAGCCAGAATCGGTATTTATATACTACATATTGCGCGATTATTTTCATATTTGAACGTACTTTGAATTACTTAAAATTTATATTTTATTATAACTGCATTATGTATCTTATTACAAATTTCTATATAAAATCTGTAATAAAATACATAATGCGGTATAATAATAATAAAATATCTGTGAAAAACTATAAGGTCACTATTGTATATTCGAATCTAAATTCGTTTATGATTACATATTCCCAATGGAAGCGCTGTATTGTCAACTTCCCGAGCGAAGATATTTGAATGGTGTAAAGCAGCCAAGTTATAGGCATTGGTGCATGAACTGTACAGAGCACCAAGCTAAACACCATAACGCTTCCAACGACTCTATCCCTTAGCCACTGGTAGGGAGCTATTTGACTAAGTGAATTGTTTTAAGATTTAAAAAGTAAAGAATATTCAATGTTATTTTTATGTACGTTTCTTTGCAAAGTTATATTTAATTATAATTTTTGTTTAATTAAAATAATATTGACAGATTTTCGGACATAAAATCTTTAGAATTTTCATCACTTTTAGATGTTAATAATTTTAAATATTATGAAAAACAATTTCCCCAAACGAGTTTTAATTCTTTAAATTAAGTAAATTTTATGGGAAATTTTTTGATTTAACTAAATTGCGTAGTGAATCGCAATATTTATATTCGTGTCCACACTATATTGACAAGTAACTCTTAGACATAAAATGTATTATAATTAATGACGGTCGGAACAAAGATGTAGACTACTAAATTACAGTATATGATTTAATATCATTAATTTTTATTGTACCATCTACCGGTGCGTCTATTTAGCGCAGTTTTTCGACCACAGAAACACTTGGTCGGAGGAAACATTGTCATCGCTAGCGTTGTTTCAATAGAAAAAGAGCTTTCAAATACGTTGATGGAGTCGACGACCAGCGACTTTTATGATTAAGTAATTAATGACTTTGCGGGAAAAAATCTCCGAATAGAGTTTGTTTATAAAAAATTAAAAAACAAGTTTTTCTATCATTGTTTGTATTATGCAAGTATTATTTGCATTTTAGAACTAAAATACGTAAATTGTTTATTTTTGTCATTTCCAGTATTTGTTTAAAATGTTTATGGAAATGTGATGTTACGGACAGATCCGAACCGTCACGAAGACGCGAAAAAACAATTAATTTAGAGAAAAATTTATTAGTTTAAAATAACAGGAAAAAATCGTTTGTAGTCGAACAACCATTGTTTATATCAAACTGCGACGCATAAATTATAAATCGGGGAAGGAAGTTGTCTTATGATCGGTGGAAGATCGAATTCATCTTCGATTTTGATCTTTCTCGCGCTCCAGGTAGGAGTCTCGTTACGCTTAGTAACGAGGGACCAGCCACTCGGGAAGCGTGATTGAGGGAGAACGACCAATCAAAACGGACGAAAGAAAGAACGGAGATTGATATAATCCCCGACAATCAAAGACACCTCTCACTCGGTTAACGTTCCGAATAACCAAAATGCCGTGTGTCAACGCGCAAAAAATCTGTTTCTCGTCTATTCTGCTAACCTCTAACCCGTGCCACTTCGGACTTAGACCGTGTCCCTGACGGCAACACACAAAGTCTCCCCGTGCCTTACAGACTTGTCAACGCCACTGTCCCGGGCCACCTTCGATCGACGATGAAAGAACCACATCGACGCCCAGGACGTCCGAACAGCTGATTGTCCTAATACAAACTATTTTGTACGTATTGTTTTATGTTAAAATAAACGGTTTTTGTCAGATACTTGTCGCTCTTGTCTCCTCCTCCTCCACGCATATACGAATAAACCCTAGACCATCACTGTCGTGCAATTAACTGATTGCCCCTAAAAGCCGGTTTCTTGAAGAAACACAACTTCCCTATCATCAAATGTCACGGCACGCTACTGGGCGAAACTATTGTTAAACCGCTTAATGATATCAGCGTCCTCTAGTAACGGTTATGTAGACTCGCTCATTGCCAGGTTATACCACGTGTTATATACCGACTATTTTAGCTACATTAAAAATAACTTATTTACACAAGAAGTTTTTCTTTTACCAGCGGGATGTTTTATCTTTGTTATTATATATTTGCAAGGTTTATCACAATGTCTTCAATTCACGGAAACCGATTAAATCCATATTCCAACGAAGAAGAAAGGTAAATGAATTTTTATCATATAGCAATTTCTATTGATTGTTGTATATATATTTGGAGTGAATTTGGGGTTCTTTTTCCAAGAAAATATTTAGTAATATTGTCGAAGACTCAATGGTGTAGCCTTAAAATATAAGAAAGATGAGTGAAGGCAGGGGGGAGAGTGATCTGAGGAAAAATTGGAAAGATGGAATAATTGGAAGTTTGAAAGTAAAAGGTCAGGACATGAGCCACAAAAGGAACTGTTGGATAAGACAAGGATAAAGAATAGTTTACGCGTGCAGAGCAATTTGTATTTACAAAAAGAAGTAGGCCCATAGAGTAATATTGTCACAAAGAGATACAGAGATATTTGAGAGGAGAGTATAGAGTGACGAAGAGGGATTGCAAGAGGAATGAGGATATCGTAGAAGAATGTGGCACGAGAAAGAGGTGAGCGAGTCTGCTTTACGGTGGTTTGGCTATGTCGAGATTATGAATGAAGAGATTATAGAGAGATTGCAGCAGACGTTTTCGCGATGAAAACGTCGGCCGCAACCTCTCTTGTATTTGGCAAAAGTGGAAGGAAAACGAAACAGGAACATGATCATGTGCACGAGCATTTGAAGGAGAGAATGATTATGAGCATGAAAGGTGTGAAAAAGTGTGCTAGGAGAAATATGAGTCATGCAGAGACAGTAGTGTCTGGAGAAATGTGATAAATGGAGAAATATATACGTGTGATTTCTCTTGCCTTCTTCATTCCTCTTCTGGGATAGGAAGCAGGCAATGATAATATATAGGCCTATGTATGTAAATTTATCATCTGACTTCCGCACGAACTATATACTGTATTATTGAATTAATATATATAATATATTACCTTTCTAATAATTCTATTTATTTTCAAAAGCTGAAATTTAGTAAATTAATTATTTACGTCATAAATATTTTACATTCTTTTCTGTAATTATATTGCGTTGTTCTCAAACAATTACAAAATATTTTAATTAAATATTGTTTACTGGAAGCATAATAATATCTAAAACAATAAAATGTCAGCTTCAGTATTTGAGTCAAACGACGATTGCAAAATTGAATGTCTAGGAAACATCAAAATGGCATCCGTATCTGCACAAGAAATGTGAGAAAATTTCTGTATTTTTAAAAATATTCTACAATATTTTTATGTATAGCATTTTGAAAGCATTGAAGGTCATTTCAGATATAAACAATTGAATGCGCTTTCAATTGTTTATACCTAAAAAAAACACATCTAAAAACAATAATCTTTGATTAAAAATAGAGCTCCTTTAAATGTCATTGCTCTTCTGATGCGCATTTTTCTTCTATTATTCTGAAATTTATTTAAATTTAAAGATTAAAGATGTTATTTTGACATTATAAATAAGAACAAACCATTAAAGAACTAAACTTTACGAACCAGCGGCGCCCACAGACTATAGAAAAGTTTATCCTACACTATGCAAGAAACTTCAAACTCAGATTCAAAGTCAAATCAACGCTCCTACAGATTTCAGCAAAAGACACACAAAAAAGATAAAATAAAGAAAAAAAAACTGAAAAAAATTGAAAGAATGCAGACTAATTAATTAATTGACACAGGCAATTCAGGCTATGCAGAATAATGAGCAGAATAAGATATCAACGCTCGAACTGGGAGCTTTGATACTTTAACCAGAGTAAGGCGGAACAAATTTATTATTTTGATGATGGAAATCCACAGTCAGGGCAAAGTCACTGAAGAGTTTAACAGGATGCATCAAGAATTGCCGTCCCTCACAACACAGCCATCTCAATACAGCCTGTTCAATAACCTCACGCTGAATGCGGATCATCACCACCAAATAACTCGAATTCTTTTTTCTACCTGGAGCCATGCTTTACCTGAAAAACAATAAAAAAGAACTATATAACTCCTATGGTTCCAAAACTAATGGAACATCCTATATATACTATAAACTTTTTTATATTATTAACTATTATAAAATGTCAAAAAGCTTAATTTTGAGGGTAGAGATGAGTTTTATATTTAAAAAAAATGTAAATGCTAATCACGAGTAAAATCTTCATTAAGTCCGATCCCACTCGAGATATGTCACACACCTCCTCGACCTTAAACTTCTAAAATTTAACAGCATCAATGCCTCTAATACACGAACCTCCCAGCAAAATTTCAGAAATTTTCGACAAGAGGCACAGGAGTAAGTTTCTAAGTGGGTGAACAAAATCCTGTCCACCACACAATGACATATATACCTAAAGAAAACACCCCAGAATTCTTTTGTTTCTCGAGATTTCAAGGTCCTCTGAGTCCAAAAGTGTAAAAATCTTGAGCAGTCATTTCTGACAACGCCATACTTTCTGTTACACATAACAGCAGAGAAAGTAAAAATCGCCGACCCTTGATGATGGGAGCATCAAACTGTTGTTTATCATCATATTCTGCTGGAATAAATTAACTTTCCGCAAGGGAATCACTGATAATTTTACAAGTCTAACATAAAGATGGAACCCATGACGAAATAAAATCGATGATAATGATGACACATAACGTTTTAAATTTAATTAGCCAAAGTACAGTTAGTTGTAAATCATTCAGCAGTGATATTTAGTACAGATGTACACGTTTTATCTTAGAATAGATGTTCTGATTATATTAAAAAAATACAAAAACATTAATAATGTATTTGCAACAGATTTAGCTCTTCCATTTCACCGAAAGTGTTATCGGATGTCACAAAGGAAGTCGACGTCATAGTGGGGGAAAGAACTTTTGTCGTAAGAAAAAACATTCTTTTGGATCTCAGTACTCACTTCGACGAATTGCTTTGTAGTAAACAATCCAAAACGCCTTTGGTAATATCTCTTTCTGACGTCGAACCAGTAGTCTTCTCTTTAATTTTAAGGTAAGACACAATTTTTATAAGTTAAAAAATTTATAGAATAATTTAAAAAACTTTAGTCTACTGTTCTGGTGGATCCTGGATCGAGTCATGGCGAACGGCTCCTCAGAAATTTTCTATCGTCATATATATTAATACTTGCCCCTCACCAACAATAGGCTATATTTATTGTTGCCTGGCAGAATCTGCGATAGGTAATGAGATGGAATAAAGGGCCCTCTTAGTTCTCATAGGACGAGAAAAGTTATATAAAAGTAAAAAACTGATATTTTTTACGACGGTGGGAACAAAGAGAACCCTTTCCTTTTAACAAGCTGATTATGGATTCAACCAAGTTCAAAATGGACGTCTGGTATAGTAAGAGAGGGACCCGACATATCCATATGCCAGGCGAATTTTCCCGAAAATTTTTTGGCCTTTTTAATCCGTTCTGATCCGATCTCAGGTTCACCGAACGGCAGGCTAACACCTTAATCGCTTGGCCATCTGACCTTATGGGTAACGAGATAAACGAATTGCTCAAATAAATATAAGGACGTATGACTTTCTTGTGTGCTTTTTTGTAATCTTAAAATTTTGCATAAATGGAAGAAATTTCAAATATAACATTTATAATTTGTTTGTATAAGGTAACGCGATACGTGGGCGATGTCTCCCGGGAAAGCTTTCTAAGGGAAACTGGCCCTTGTTTAAATGTTACAAATATGTAAAAAACCCGGAAAACTCACGACCAATGTTAAGCACTCGACCACTGATGAGCCCTATTATAATAGTATCATATTATTTTATATATGTTCTATATAAAAGGTGTTCTACTTCGTAATAAACACGGAAGTATTTTCCTTCGCTTAAGTAGGTTAATGAACACGTTTCCATTCTCATTCTGGGAAAGACTATAATTTTCATCAAATTTTCTGTCATTTGTATCAGTTTCTGCAGTATCAAATTTAAACACACGTAATTAGTATTTTAGATGCGTATTTTTTAATTTAACAATTTAATTCATTTAAAATTTATGAAGATTGTACGATTAGAGTTATAAGAATGACGAGGATAAGTCCACGTGGATAAGAAGCACGTTACCTAGTAAAGTGGCTTGAATACTTGTGGATAAGCAAGCCCTGACACAATCCGTTTCAAATGAAAAGTGTTAAGCCATTGGCTTGCTTATACAACTGCTTATCCAATAGAAGTCAACGACTTAACGTTGGCTGTCATTGATTTGCATTGGCTGACTATGTCACGTACGAATGCTTCTCTCTTACTCAAGCTGAACTCGTGTATTAGATTCTATGCATGAAAGTGAACTTTATTTTGAATCTTTTCTTGGTATACCATTGCCTTCAAGTGCCCAGGTAAAAATCAAGAGGGACGCTAACCTGCGACTAACTACCAGTGTTCAGTAGTGTTATCCACTCTGTCACTGATGGGCTCTGATTGATCCGTATATGAAAGTCTTAAAATAAAATACAGTATACAATTTTTATTACTGTAGACTACACTTACACCAAATTAAGATAATTTTGGTTTATCGTTACAGACTTTATCACCAATCCAAAATGCCAAAGTCAACAGTCAAAAACTCCACCAAAATTCCATCATTGAACGTAGCCATGGCCATGAGAAAAGCATCGAAGATTTATCGGTTCGACAAAATCTCCAAAATATTGGATGATTACATTATTAATTGCATTAATAACGAAACCGTGTTTAAAATTTTCGAAGAGGCACTTAACAATTCGTATACCAATATATCAAATTATTGTAAACACTTCATACAAAACAATGCAAATTACCTTTTACAGGCATCCCATTTTCAGTATCTGACATTCGAAATGGTAGAAACAATTTCTCAATTAAAATTAAAATTATATTCCGAAGTAACATTATTTGAAGCCCTATTTGAATGGGCTAAAGATGAATGTAGAAGAAGCAATGTAGAAACAAACGTAAAAAACATACGCCATATCATAAACCCTTTACTTCCTCATGTAAAATTTTTGTCAATGTCGGAGAAAGAATTCCGTGAAGGCCCGGCTCAATCTGCTGTTTTTACAAAAGAAGAAATTTTTCAAATCCTACAGAAGATCAAAAATCCAGAAAGTTCTTCGGATCTTCCCAGTTGGTGCAGTGAAAAAAACAAATTATACTTACCTTATTATGTTTGCATCATCGATTGCAATCGAAAGAAGTACGAAACGAAACAAACAGCGTATTTGGGCTTTTGTTTTACTCTCCAGAAAAAGGATATTTGGTTTTGTGGCATGGAATTATGTCTTCGCAATTCTTATCATCTACTAAAGCATAACCAATTTTTCTCTATTTGGATAATTGTGGAATCTATAAAAGAAGTAATTCTCGCGTATGGTGAAGTAGTAACTTACAGGGATGATGGAAACTGCAGAATAATGTTAACTGTTCCGAAATTTTTGGCGGCAGAAGATTCATACGTAGTAACAATGCACGCTCATGAACCACTTAACACTACTCCATTTGTAACCTGTTTGGTTGACAACAAAGAATATAATCAAAGTAGTAATGGTGCTAAATTTATTTTTCACCAGATTCCTCCGTATTACGGAAAAGATATCCAAAATATTCATGTTCACGAAATTCTCTTCAAATTTCAAATAATGTGATTATTTCTAAAGAAAATTTATGAGGACATTTTTACTTCTTTTCGTTCATAAAAATTTATCAAAATTTTCATTCAAATAATCAAATCAATGAAATTACATGCTGATAATCAAACAGTTAATCACTAAACATAATTATTACAATAGAAATTTTCATCTCAATAAAAATATTCATGCTTAAGTAGTTATTTTGAATAATTAAATAAAAATAATTTATTGTTAAAAAAATATTTATCAACGAGTTGTATAACTTTTCTAGCTTCTCCCGGTTTCAAAGTGTCTTAATAACGTAATGGGATTATTCTTCGTACCAATAATCGGGTTAATTATAAAATACAGTAGAACCCCTTATAAAACGGGTTCATATAGTATGGATTCGTATATAACGGCGGAAAAATTGCGATCGTATTTGTATAAACACGCTAAAAGAGATTCGTATGATACGGTAAAACGCCGACTCGTGTCGTGACAGGATTGGTCGAATGTAGACCAATAGCGGATATTGCACAAACCGTTGAGTTTAACGAGCAGCGGATCTACTAAAAACCATTTATTATTTAACGGCCATAAAAATTATATTTATATTAATGATGTTTCCAAAGTTCAGCAAATTTTTCGCAGAAAAATAATTAAATGCATTGTTTTAAGATTTAAAAAGCAAAGAATATTCAATGTTATTTTTATGTACAGTATATTTCTTTACAAAGCTATATTTAATTATAATTTTATTTTAATTATAATTATATTGATAGATTTTCANAAAAAAAACATATGTTTTAAAAACCCGACTTTTTTTAATGTGTATATATATATGTATATATCAGTATATATATTACTGTTACAATAATATATATATAGAATATAAAATTAAGAATAATCTTTTCGTTTCTACTTTTCCCGACTGGTATAAGTATATATAACATAAGGAAAGTATAGCGATCGGACAAAAGATGACCCCCAAAATTTTTTTTACATTTTTGGACTCGGGGATTATTGTTGTTTACGGCAAGGCGACACTCGGGCGATCTGCCTAGGGGAGATGCCTTCCGGGAGGTCTTTTAAAGGGAAACTTGCCCCTATTTAGGCCTTACTGACGTGGAGAAAACCCGGAAAACTCCTCGTGTCCGGCCCGTCCGAGCCGGGCGCAAACCCGCGACCGAACTCCCAGCGTTCGGGGTACGAAGACCGCTGGGCCACCGGTGGGCCGGACTCGGGGAACCTCGGAACGTAGAGAAATGCAAAAATGTCGGGGGTTTCTGTACGTATGGATGTTAGTATAAGGGGTAGGGGCAGGCTTTTGTTCGTCTTCTTCCAAGTCGAATAACTCGTGTGCCTTTTGTCGAAAATTCCTGAAATTTTGCAGAGAGATTTGGGTATGGAAGGAATCGATACCGTTAAATTTTGGTGTTTAAAGAACAAAAAGATGGGGAGATAGAGGGGATCGCGTGTGGTATTTCCAGCCAGTCGAAATTAATGAAGATTTTTCTGGTTATTAGCATTTGTAATTATTTATAAAACTCATCTCTACTCTCAAAATTAATCTTTATCGTATTTTATAATAATTACTAATGTAAAACGTTTTTAAAATAAAATACCGTATTATAACAGATGTCGCCCCAATTCTAAATTTGTTTGCCAACAAATTACGCAACTCATTGCTGGATTTTTTTAATTCTTGATAGAAATTGTAGGAGTTCGTTACTAACAAATTTACAAACATTTTTTAGCCGTAACGATTACAATTAAAAGCAAATGTATTTTACAGTTTAAAAATGATTCAAATGTGTGAAACAAGAAGACAAAAAGTGTTACAAGAATTTTCAAAATTTTCTTGACTGAATTTATTCAAATTTTATTTCTGCTTTGCTAAATTTCAGGCACGTTCTTAGGTGTGAAACACAAAAATGTACAGAAATATACTTAAAACTGGTGTAATATTAGATTGGAAGTGTGTAAACTTCATCAAACGTTTACGCCAGGTTATCATATTGACTATGCATTGTAAAGAATACTACAGTACAGTACATTCAAAGATTGAAAACACTCAATAAGCACAAATCGACCAAAAACCTTTGTGGATATACACAAATTACACAAATAGCCACAGGAAAATTCGTATCTTGACTGCTTATAAAGTTTAGACGTGTTCTGGATTGGCAAAAAAATGCCATAATGCAATGTTTATGTCGGTTTTATTAAAAAAATTCCAGCAACGATTTGCCTAACTGTTCCTGCAACGTTTAGAACTGTGTGTGTGTGTGTGTGTGTGCGCGCGCGCGTGTGCCCCATATTTTATAAATATTTTAAGTAAAAAAATATCGTATTTTTAATTGTTATGAAATGGCAAAAAGCTTGATTTTGAGGATAGGAATCAGTTTCATAAGAGAATTGTAAATGCTAATAAACAGTAAAATCGTCATTAAGTCTGACCCTACTCGAGATACGACACAAAACCCTTCTTTATCTTCCCACCCCTCCACCTTTAACTACCAAAATTTAATAGCATTAATTTCCCTAGTACAGAAACCTCCATGTAAAATTTCATATGATTTCGATGAAAAGCACAGCAGTTATTAAGCTTTAAACAAATTGTGCCACCCGCACACACACTAACATCCATACATACAGAAAAAGCCCGAATTTTTTTCATTTTTCGACGTTTCAAGATCCTCACGTCCAAAAAATATAAAAATCTTGGGGTCATTTTATCGACCAATGGTCATACTTTCCCTCTGTTTAATATAATAGAACCGGGAAAGTAAAATGACCACAGTTCGTTCTGGCTACTCTTTTCTGCTTATTATTCGATCTTTGAGCCTAACATATAGGCTATACTACATAATACTGTGTAGAGTAATAATTAAATTATTCAAACATCAGAATAACTAAAGTTTATTTAGTTACTCTGGTGCAGTTTTTTACTCCAGTAACAAAAAATGAGAAGGAATGAGGAGAAGGAATAACTATAACGTTGCTGATTCTGACTAAACCGGCAACGTTAACCTCCCCTCAGAATACATCTGTACTGATAGAAACTGCATTTATGGAGTGTTAGCTGTACAGTATTCATAAACCAGACTGCAGTTAACATGCTATCGAATAGATAGGTTTAAAAAAAGTAGTTTTGAATCATTGAATGAATCTTTTACATAATTTAAAACAAATATACAATGATTAATCTTTATTTTTGCTAAATATCAACTTGATATCTGGCAAGTTTAACAAAATTGAGCCAGTCAAAGACCTGAGAAAAACACGCCCTTGGACAGTTAAAGGACTAAAAACTTCCATCTTAACTATCTGGAATTCCATAATGGTAAATAAATGTAAACACCTAGTCAACAGCATGCCGAAACTTATAGGTGTTTTGGCCGCAAAAGGTGATGCAACAAAATATTAAACATGCAGTGGTCAATGTTTTTCTTGATGCCTGTAACAACTTTGACTGGCTCAATTTTGTTAAACTTATCAGATATCAAGTTGATATTTAGCAAAAACAAAGATTAATTATTGTATATTTGTTTTAAATTATGTAAAAAAAATTTATTCAATGATTCAAAGCTACTTTTTTTTTAAACCTATCTATTGGATGACATGTTAACTGCAGCCTGGTCTAAGTTCTACTGTACTACTGTATTATTACATGCATAAGTGAAAGTGCAAATTAGAAAAACTATAAAATAATAGAAATTTAAATAAGCATAAATTAACTATTGTTGCTTGCTTCGTATCTAGTAGAGTCCATTATCATTTTGGTGATTGTCTATTCTAGCCAATTTTCACTAGATTTGTCACAACGGTTTGACACAAAAACAATTCTTACTTTATTTAAATAATATAAAGTTAATAAAAATATACTATATTTTATTTTTATAAACTTTATCATAAGTAAGAATTGTCTTCTGTATCAAACAGTCGTGACAAATCTAGTGAAAATTGGATAGAATAGTCAATCACCAAAATGATAAAGGTATAATTAACTAATATCAATTAATCAACAATTTCTACTTATAAGCAGTAGAAATTGTTAATTAATTACTAACACTTTAGAAATATTTAAAATTTGTAATAAATTCTTTTTAGCCACGTGGAATATTGCTGTTGGTCCTAATTAACAAGTGTTATTTTATTGACGTCAAAATATAAGTTGATTACAATTACAACATCCACGTGTAGTCAAAATATGCAGATTTTGCTAATTGCAGTTTAAATAGAAATAGAAAATATATAATTTAAATACATCACAAATACAACTGTATTTATAAAAGCGTTTTATTTTATTTATTTTTTTTTATTAAACTCAAGAACGAATTCATATATAGACGAAAATCGAGACCAGATATGGAAAGGTTAGGAAATAAAGACTACGATTAATTTTTAAATTAAAATATCATTAAAAATTTAAGTAAATACGTGATAATAAATAATTTAGGATTTTAATTTCATAAAGTTTAATTAAAGGCATATTTTCGAAATTGCTCTTTTACATTTTGAAAAATTTTAACTAGAACAATCCTAAAATAAATATTTTTTGCAGCTATGTACATTTCATTTCGAAAATAAACAATGAATTTTGAATATTTTCTGTCAGAAATTTAAAAAAAAATGTAAATATGCAAAATTGAAAATAATATACATTACCTAAAATTTATGCAGTATAATTTATTAGTTAAATTAATTATAAAAGCATTTAAAATGTTTAATATTTACGAAAAATTCTCTATTGTTTAACTTGAAAAAAGGTTTTAAAGTTAAGCAATAGAGAATTTTTCGTAAATATTCAACTAAATAAAGATGGAATACCGCCAAGTGTTGAAATAGAAACACACCTTCTGTTAGTGAATCATCAAAAAAGGTTTTTAATTTGCAATTCACAAGTATTATTCAAGTGTCAAAATGTAAGCTACCTACGACAAGGTGTTACACATGCAGTTCACATATGCTGCTTTTGCCAACTTCAAATTCAAGTAGAAATTATGAACATTTTAATTGCATTTACGAATATTTAGTGATTTTATTCCACTTATTAAGAAGTAAAAGTGTAATAGAATTTAAAATCTAATTACAAAATACCGTATTTGATTTTTCAAATCTTATAATATAATCGAGATGGGTTGATAATGATAATGATAATAATAATAATAAGCGCGTAGCCCAAACGGTTAGGAGTTGATAGTTGAAATTTAGTACACAATTAGGTTACATCACGAGAACGTACACTAAGAAGGGATTTTTCGAAATTTCCCCCCGTAAAAGAGGATTAAGGTTAACTTGAAGAACTGGTTCTATTGTACTGTTTTGGATGCGTTTTTGCGTTTTTGACAGCGTTTTAGTAAGGTATATCATGAAATGCATATTAAGAAGAGGTTTTTGGAAATTCAACTCTCCGAAAAAAGCAGGAGAAAATTTTAGTCAGTATAAAGTGTATATAATAGACAAGGAAAGTAAACAGTGGCACATATAGTATTTATTAATTTCCAAACTGTATATTTTAATCATTTCCACTCTTCGGATAACCCAAAAACAAATCCAAAATAAACGAATTCAAAAGAACATTTGAATTTTTTCTAAATTCGAAAAATAATGTTCCAAACAAGTTTTTTAGATTTTAGAATTTAAAATTAATCATTTTATTCAAGTAAGGTTATCATCAATTAAGTTAATTCTCTATTTTAATGAGAATTAACTTACTTGCCTGAGCAACGCCAAAAAAGCAATTTATAATTTAATTTCTTTTCCTTAGAAATAAAGTGGGACTGTATTATTGATAATGATTTAATTTTAACAGAATCTTATGGTTAATCGAGTCATCGTCCCTAATTTTTTCAAATCTAATCTAGATTTTTACTATTTAACTTCGTTCTTCGAATTAACGAAGGACAGGCAGACATCAAACAGACCAACGACGGTCGGGATATATGTCTGAAATTTGAATCCGATTCTTATTTAATTGTATTTTAGAAATAGACGAAATAAAAAAATACACGAAAAATCAATTTGTATTTCCGTTCTGACTTACGGAGGGTAGATATAAATGTTTTGGAATTTTGAAGTTATCAATAAGAAATAAAAATTAAAGTTACAAAAAGTAAAAGCCAACCCAATTTGCAGAAAAAATACTTTACTGTATTACATTGTTAAATTTCCTAAATGCATTTCGCCAAAAGAAAAAAAAAAAAGGTTTCCTCACTAGGGTTAATGTTAATTTCACAATTATTAATACTACAATGATGAAAGATAGGAAAATTATTAATTTTTAATCTTACAGCTGCTTTAGTTTTCTCTTCATAGAAACTTGGAATATTACATGTGCATTCGATTCTGTAGAATACGCCTTCTTCTTCTAATGGGTCCTTTTTAATACTTCTTATAACTATCAGATTGGACAATTTATTATTTTAAGTTGGAGCCAGTTTAATTAAATTTTGATTAAGAATATACCTTTTATATAAGGAAATGATACGTAGAGTTTTGTTTCTTGTTTCTCTTTTACTTTATATCTATTCAATATGAATTGGTTATAACAATTATTTAATATTTTCCTTGGATACCCATTTAGAATACACTTCTTGTGTGTTGCTTTTATTTCCTGTTCTCTTATATTCGTTTTTGTTGTTCTAGAAAATATCTTTCTTATTTCCATTAAATATATATTACGTTTTTGATTTATATAGCAATATGATTTAAAGTTAATTACAGTTTTAGCACTACATGGTTTTTCAAATTTACAATATTCATGACGATCGTGTAATCGTTATATCTAAATAGTTTATTTTAATATACAGTACTTCTCGTATTTCTCTACAATACAATTAAGTAAGAATTGAATAAATAATCTGATTGCATTGTTTTAAATAATTATTTTGAATGCAATTTGAATATTTGGGAACAGAAAAATTTAGAAAAAAACATGAGCATTTTATATATTTTTTCTAAAGTTGAATAGATTCAAATAGCGCACATTTCATTTCCATATGACGTCACAGCTAAAAGTATACATATGTGGAATCGCGAGGTTGATCGAATAGTTGAAGACACGTCAGTGCTCTGCAAATTACGAATTCTCTTCCAAGTTCCCAGCAGCAAGTAAAAGCATCACGAAGTCTTTTTTGTTGCTTGTTTTAGTTTTAAGTACGTATTTCATTTAAATATAAATAATTATTTTTTTTTTATTTTCTAAATATTTTGTTAGGAGGACGAATTTACTCTAAAACTGATTATTTTTTTTAGAGGAATAGAAAGAAACGTTTTACTGAAAATTTCTCACAACAAAAATATTTGTTTATATTAAATACATTGTAAAATATACAAAATATTAAAGACTAATACGAATAAATTTTTCTTGTCTTCTTTGTCGTCCTCTTTCATCATCACCAAAACATCACAGTCTTTAATATTTTGTATTTTTACAATGCAGTTCATATAAATATATTTCGTCCTGGATATTTCAAAATTTTTTTATACAACGTAAAAATATTTGTCTTTAAATTGTATCTTATTTTTAAGGTTTGAAACCGCCGCAAAGTCTCTGTCAACTGTCGAAACCTTCAAGACCCGACTTTTGGTTTAATCCCATTTCAAATTCCCTCTTCGAATAACATATTTGACCAGTTGGAAGTTGCCAAGAATGTGAGTGAAAAAGTCATAACTAACATAATTAAAACAGTAGTAGGTTATATATTGCTTCAATGTGTGGTATAGTAGTTATATAAATTTTCGTTAATTTTTGTTATTTCTGTAGCTAGTACATTTAGGTACTAAATATCATATAAGCAGTTATAAAAGTTATAATATGTCATGTATAATATTAATAAAGTTTAAAATATTGTTGTAAGAAGTCCGAATTCGAAGTCCTTCTCCTCTTCAACAACTAATTAGCTGAGATGTTATCAGAATTCAGAGAATCTTCTCATAAAGTAGCTGAAAAATGTGGCATACTTAGAATATGTGTATTATGGTTTGTTAGAAAGACACATTACGACCCGAACTATAATATTCATTTCTTTATCTACAAGTATATACTGGCTGCACGTTGAGAATGATAGAGATGTCTTCGTAGCGCGTGCGAATTGTATTGCAACATTCGTAATATTCATCTCTTTCGGGGCTTCCTTTATTTCTTTACTTTCCCATCCTCTTTATACTACCATTTTTCGGTAGTTTTATCCATTCGGTTATTGAAGGGTACTTATTGGACTGAAATTTGAAAAAATTGTAGACCTATAAATTCACACTGTTGTCCTTCTGGCTCCTTCCTTAATCTAGAAAACGGAGTTACATGAAAATGAGATTATAAGTGGAGAGCTTAAGAACATGAGATCCAGATTAACTATATATGAACTCCCGATTTGTACTGCGAGTGGACGTTATTTCAATTCAAATATTTTTCCCTAAACGGAGAATACATAACCGGCATGACTCTACTGCGAACAGGAAAAGTTTGACGTACGAGGGCAAAACACTACTACACTCCATGCAGGCAAGTACTATGTGCTAACAATCGCAGTAATGGCGTAATGGCGAATATATTCCGCACTATATTATTGTCACAGTAGTTAAGTGAACATATATATATATATTTAAAATTCTATCTTTTTTTTTATAAGAATTGTATTTAGTTAATTATTTTGTTAAATTTTTTCAATAGATGGAGGGATATGTAAAGCCAGCAATCAAATTTAAACAGAAATTAATTAGTACAGTATATAGAAATCCAATCGAAAATCGGCTCAATGAAACAAATTGGATGAATTATTATTTTCTTTCTTTATTATTTTTTCGCCCTAATTTAAAGCCACTTAAAAAAATCATTACTATTAAAATCTTTGCAGTAATTATGATAATTTAATTCACATTTTAATTCTACTTTTACGATTGTTTAATTGAAACCAAATATTATTCTTGTAATGACTTTCTGCTGAGTTGATAATTAATTAAATATCTTTAACTTTTAATAAATTTTCTTGCCGTACTATTACCTGTATTCTTCCATAAGCTTTTATTGTAAAATATGTTTAGTATTGTTTGTTCTAAAATTATACCAACAAATCTTCAAAAATAGTCTTACACCTGTTTTTAAGTTTATACATTTTTTGATATTTTCAGAATATATCGATTGAATTATCGAAATGTCTGGATCCAAAAATGATACCATCACTCGGGTGTGGAGGTGAAAACATCACTGCTGAAAATTTCCTTGAGAATCTATCGTCAAATCTATTGATGTGCCTCTTAGAGAAAATTTGTTACAATAGTAGTGAGGCAAATGTAGTAAATCTGACTAAATGTATTACAAAAGCGTCTGGATTTGCAATAAGCGCATTGACAAGCCTAGTTATTACTTCACGTGAAAAGAAAATGTATTTATGTATTATCAGTTTGTATACCAATGCCCGTAGTGAACTTCTCAATTGTGAATTTTTTTATAAAATTTTATCATTGGATATAGACGGTATTATAAAATATATAAATGATCGTATTTTGCACATTTACTTTGCAAATCTGGTTAATTTAATAAAACTAGCTACAGAAAAAGGGATGAACGATTGTATACTTCTTTAGTAAATCACAAATTTTTGTTGATGTAAATTTACGAATCTGCAATAAAATGTAAATTCAGTTCTGCTGTATACAAATATAGTATCATATCTGATTTAATTTGTTTGGAATAAAATGTTATAAATTTTTTGAAAATTTTATAAATTGTTTAAAAATTTTTTTCTCTTCGCATTGAAATCTGAAATGATCGTATGCGATGTGATCAGAACGCGCATACAAATAAACAGTTACATTAAAATCTCTCTAAGACGGAACCCGAATAAAACGGAAAAAAATCTTCGAAATGAGGCGATTTTCTACATTTTAATGTTGATAAAAACAAAAATTTACGAATTTTTAAAGTTGATAAAAACGTTTAAAGTAGAAACTTGGCATAGAAGAAAAAATATTCGGTAGCGTGCGATTCCGGTTTACGCAAGTTTTATGTAGTTTATTTTAGTAGGACGATTACTATAAGCTTAGCTAAATCTTGGAGAATTGTTGATTTTTCTCGTCTTCATTAATTCCTCGAATTATCAACACGCCATGAATATCACCATTATTATTATTATTATTAGTTTTTCTTTCACTCTTCCTTTTTCTTGGGTTCTATCTTTCCCGTTTACCTTCCCATTGTATTGCTTAGGAATTATTCTTCTCTGTCGGACAATACTGATAGGATTGCCTTGGAGTTTAATGCTGGATCCCTTGTAAGTTCTGTTTGTTTCTAAGTTCGCTCTGTGCGTACGGGAACTACTTCTATTGTAAGGTTATATAACTCTACTATGTTCCCATCTGGAAGGATCATTCAATTTTCAGCCAGATCCAGGATCAGATCTTTTTCTTTAATAAAATCTCTTCCTAACAGTCCCTCACATGGGAGGTCATTCCTGAGTGTATTATATAACATGGGCAGTACACGAGGTGTTTGGACGACGGAAAAGAGAGTAAGGGAAAGAGGACGGGAGGAAGGAGGGGGAGGAGATAGACAGTAGAGAAAGATAGGTTCCTACTGAACGGCGTACGTATGGCTACAGTACCCTCTATGTTGCGTGCAGTTTTAGGCTGCAAGGCCGTAGTCCCCCGAAGGATCTAAAATGAAAATATAAGTGTAGCGAATAAATGAGTGTTTCCATGAATAGCTGTGTAGAAGCTAACCAACTGGCTGTTAGTAGGAAGACTTAAATCTACCTAACACTAATAAAACTAAACGCGATCGCAAATTTTAATACTACTTAACAGCTAGACAGACAGTGTAAAAACAAACAAACACATCGACAAAAGACAAACAAGCAAGACCCCCTTTTTTGTTTTTTTTTTTTTTGTTTTTTAATATTAACTTACTAACTAAACTAACCATCAAGAGTTTTGGAGGTCATCGAAGACGGAGGTCGTGTACACATTCGGCTCCTGTTCCGGATACATCATCTGCGTCCTTCCTATTGATTGTGGATTATTTCTGAACATTTTCGGTTTATTGATGTCAAGTGGGTCATTTTAATGTATATTCCGTTAAAATCGAGTAATAATTAACCAAGTTACGAGTGTTTTTGTGCTAGACCACGTGGTCTCTATCGGTCGCTCGCACTAGTCTGTTNCCTTTACGCTCAGCAATTGACGCCCTGCAATGGCGCACTTGTAATCTACATTCTTCCTCTTTCTCTTCCCCGTCTTCCCCCCTCTTTCTTCAATCCCCCTTATTTCCTTCCTTCCTCTCCCTCGCTGGCTATGCCTTTCGGTGCGGCCAGGATCTATCAACTAACTAACTAAACTAACCTACCATAACCAAAGACGAACCTAACCAGACGACTAAAGCTAACAAATCCTAACCTATCATAACCTAACCAGAAACCAAGCCAAGTGTGAGATAAGCAGAGGGTCAGGGGTTCTTGCGTAAGTGACCACTTACGCAAGAACCCCTGACCCTCTGACCACTTACGCTGCACAAGGTTGGTAAAACTCCATCTCGCGGACGTAGGATGGATAAGAGGGCAAAAAGTGAGTGGGGAGTGCGTCGGTAAGCCGGCAGGTGCAACGATAGACGGCAGGTTTAACAAAATAAATAAGCATTTATTATTAATATTGAAGCTAAGATACATAAGATACATATAACAATATATATAGGCTAAATGCGGTTAAATATATGTTCACTAACAAAAGAACTACTGTCTCTAACATCTCTAACGGCTATCGAGAGAGAGAGAGTTCACAATGCTCGAAATACAAATACCTCTATAAGGATGTGACTAAATATGCGTTCGTTGAATAGGCCGTATGAATCGTAGTCGGCGCAGGAATGTGGCGATAATTATGGAAGTTCGAAGTGGCTTTCTGTCGTATGGCGATATCCCTTTGGTCGCAATGTCCGGTATATGGAGACAAGATGCACACAGTAATAAGTATAACTTCCTTTGGTCGCCTGGAGCTCCAGGGACTCGAGCTTTTATACATTTTCCGTGGGAAAGGATTCACGTGATCGACTTCTGTTGACACTAACGGTGCATTCCGATCAATTAAGTGTCAACTTTCCCACCTAAGTGTGAAAACAATCGGTGACCTCCGATATACTTCTCACAAAGAGTGTTTTTTTTTCATCGGAGTTGTTTACAAAGATTTTTCCGACATCGGCGTAAAAATCGCGGATTTCACACAAGAGTCCCTAATCTAACGTACAACTAGGACTAAGTTTAAACTAACCGAATTTAGACTAAAAATAAAGACGGAAAATAAGAATTAAAATACAAAGTTGAAAGGCGCTATATACCGGCAATTGAAACAGAGCAAGGGTAAGCTGATTGCCATCCGTTCCCCCGGAGTGAGTGATCTCAAGAGCCCCACTAAGGGATATGAATGCGAGTAGATAATGGAACATTGTACGCGTGTGAATGAGTTGGTGAGGGTTGTAAGGCCAGTTGTAACCTTCAAGAATAGCAGTTCTCATTAAACTATTCCTAATGTGATTGTACCTATTACAGCAAAAAACTAAGTGAAGTAGTGTTTGGTCTTCCTGAATACCACAATCGCATTGTGAATTGTCCCCAAGATTAAATTTATGCAAGTATTGCTTAAAGTTGCCGTGTTCTGTAAGTAGTTGAGTGAGGGTGTAACTAAGGTTAAAGTAGCGAAGAGTTGCAGTAGTGTCAACCTTGAGGATGAAAGTGTAGGTGAGCCTACCAGTGGTGTCATGGTCCCAGCTGTCTTGCCAGATAATGAAAATTTGCTTCTTGACGTGATTGTTGATGTACGAAGTAAGAATGTAACTGAAGGTACTAGTGACTGAAGACTTTGTAAATATGACGATTTTAGTCTCTGTAATCCAAAAATATTCTTGGTAGACAAATCTCACAGCAATCTTATTGGCAAATTAAATTTATTTTGTAAAGATATATATTTTGAAGACTTTGTAGCTTGTTTAGCAAGACGGTCAGCGGTCTCGTTGCCAAGAATCCCGCATGACCGGGACGCATTGGAAATCTATTCTAATGTTGTCTAAGTGTCTAAGAGGGACGAGTTTTAAGCGGTTATCAGACTTTGCAATCCTGCGTAAAGCTACCCTACTGTCAGAATAAATGCGATAGTGTAAGTAGTGTCTTTTGTCCTCCTATGCCTAATGTGAATTAAGCTCATATAAATAGCTCGTTTCCGCCTGTGCTATTAAGCAGTGTGTACCTAGACGGAAGCAAGCATTGTGAAGTTCGTGGCCTAACTCGGAGTAAACTACAAAAGAGGCACCCAAAAGCGGATGGTTTGCTTACAAGCTTTTCCACACAATCTCCTTTGGCGGGTTTCTTTTGGAAATTAATGTACATAATATGTTTTATATTTACATATTGTTTGTAGTACAGTACACATTGCATAGCGAATGAAATACACTTCGATGGAGATAAATTATATGAGAGATGAAACTGTGAGGATCCGAATCCAGACTTTCAGTATATTTACATCATTTATCTGTAACGTCACATCGTAATTATAAACTTGATACATAACTAGTAATTCAAACACAAATAATTATCGTATTTATTTTCAGGCACTTGGCAATTCTTATCATCAAGTTTTTATTCAGTTGAATAAAATCAACTGAATAAATCAACTGAATAAAAACTTGATGATAAGAATTGCCAAGTGCCTGAAAATAAATACGATAATTATTTGTGTTTGAATTACTACTAATAACTACAAGCACGGTTTCAAAAGTACCTTGATACATAACTGTCATCCTTCGCACCTGGGAGCAAAACATCTGTTAAGTTCTCAGGCCTGACAACAATGCTTTCTCATTACCTCTCGACCTAATATCTCGATTTCATCAGTTCAACAACGAAAAAAATCAAGTAACTAAGGCAGTCATCGCCCGTCCTTCGAAAGAGTCAGTTGTCACCCGTACCTTGACCTAAATGCCTCAATATTCAGATATCTGTTAATATATCATTTTATTTTACGTTCTTATATTCTACTAAAATATCATCGGAAACAATCGTCTAACACCCAGGTTCTCAAACTTATTTTGACCACTGCCCAGTTTGAGATGAAAAAAAAATCTAATGCCCCCATATGTTTTTACTTACCTTTTTACATTACCATCAGTGGCGTAACGTGGGTGTCAGCTGCCCGGGGCAAAGGAAAATTTCACCGTCCCTTATTTAGGGATCTCAATTTAAAAGACTAAAATTCAGTTTCGTCACAGAAAAAGTAATGAAAAATTCTGTGCTAGTGTTGCCACCTTTTAAAAATCGCTGACCGGGACGGCAGATGAGGTTTGTTCGAATAGAAGTTCCTGACGCGTGCGTATGTCATTTTGCAATGCGAAGAATAATGTGCAGTGCATGCCGGTTCTAAATCAGTTACAGTTAGCGACTAGGGAGACTCGGGTAGGAGTAACGTAAGTAACCTAGATGACGTAGCTCTATTGGATATTGGAGGTGTATATGAATACAAATGAATCGTAAAAACAAATAATAAAAGCAAATGGTCGACAGATTGCGCGCGGCCACGCAGGGTAAAATTAATAGTTCATCCGGACAGCGAGTCGATTCCCGAACTGTCCTGATAGTAACACTATTCCCCGTGCGCATTTCAATCG